AATTTATTCAATAGAAGAATTGACTGGTTGAAATGACACCTGCCCCAGTAATGCTCAGGATAGTCAGTATGTAAATAAACAGGCTGCCTGCATGATGCTTGGGGTAAACTGCTAAGTAGTTACAAGAACAATAATTTGCTATGAAAATATATTATTGTCATTAGGTCTAGCATTTATCTATATATACCTAAACCACAGTTTAAGAAACAATATATAGAACGAAAGAAAACAGAATTCTGAATAATAACCACAGATACTGAGATATTGGTAATGTTAAATGTTGAGATAGTTATTAAAGAAGAGGTTATTCCAAATACAATCCTTTTTGAGCCATTTATCTCTCCTACAATTACTCCTCAGCACCTTTATATCATCTAGTTTTTCCCTGTACCACTTGCTTACAGTTCCTCATAAGTCAACATGAGGCCATTACTACTGAGTTTTACTTAGTTCAAATCAAACACTGAAATTAACTGTTTGAAAGTATATAAGTATCTAACTCCTACAATAAGTTATTTTCTGTTCCAAAAAAAATCTGAATTAGGAGGGCTTTTTAAAAAATCCCTTCTCATATAGGATTAAAAGAATCGCACTCATTTACATATACTTTGTGGGTGTTGTTTTTTGTTTTTTTGGTACCTGGGATCAAACTGCGATCCTTGCACTTGCAAGGCAGGCCACAGAACCACTGAGCTAAATCCCTGACCCCATTTACATGTGCTTTGAAATGTGAGATTAAGTTACTTTCATTCTGCATTAACTTTGCAAAGCACTAAGATGTGCAGTTCTAGTACTGGCTCAGTCACTAATTTTATTGTGTGACCTTCTAAAACACAATGGATAAATAAAACCATTTTTAAACTTCTTTCTATATTCCTATGTTTCTATATCTTTTTTTGTAGGATATTTAAATTCTCCAAATTACATAATCATTATGGCTTCTATTGAAATGTCCCCTCAAAGCCTCATACAGTCACAAATGGGGCTTTTTGGAGGTGGTAGGATCTAGGAGGTGTGATGCTGAGATCAAGGGTACAAAGCTAGGATTAAGAGTGTCAGTGCTACGGGCCCTGAAGGTGGGTATGCAGCTGCTGCTGTTAATCTTCTGTTCTGTGATGCCCCTCTGTCATGCCCTGCCCTGGAGCCAGCCAATTATGGCCTGAAACCTCTACAAACTCTGAACCAAAATACACCTTTTCTCCTTTAACTTTGAGTGCCAGGTATTTTGTCTCAGCAACTAGCAAAGTAACTAAGACAATAATAAAGTACATAACTACATATGATAGTTAACTGATTGTGTTAATTTAAGAGGCACTCAGACAAATTGGATCAGCATAGTTCTGGGTGTGGCTGAAGGGATTTACAATACTGAGGACAGAAGACCCACCTTGGGTAGGCTTATCACCTGAATGGAATAAAAGGAAAACAAAGGAAGGTTCACTTTTGTTTCATTGTAGAAACTCCAGTCTTCACGTTTACCTTGACATCATCTCCTATTTATTTCCTGGTTACTAGAGCAGACTTTTCAGCCTTTCAGTGAAGATGTTTTAGCCTTCTGACACAGATTTACATGCAATACTACAATGAGCTCCAGGCCTTTGATGACATCCCTCAGAAATGTAGCACACAGAAAGTCCTTTTGCACCTTTCCATACCTGACTCTTGCAATTGGCCATTGCAAGCCAATCTTGCAAATTCTTCTATGTGTGTATATCTTGCATTAAAACTGTTTTTTTTGTTTGTGTGTTTTTTGAGACAGGGTCTCATTGTGCAGTTGAGACTGACCTGGAACTCACTATGTAGCCCAGGCTGGTCTCAAACTCACAGCGATCCTCCTGCCTCATCCTCCCGAGTGCTGGGATTACAGGCCTGCGCCACCACACTCGGCCTAAATATTTCTCTAGTAAGCACTGATACACTAGTAGACCTCACTGGCAAATTACATAATCACTTTATCCTCAGTTTGATTTCTATGCAAAGGTTTAATAATACTGGCTACATCCTAGGGTTGTTAAGATTAAATAAGTCACTACAGGTAATTTGCTTAGACCATTCCTAGGCATATAGCAAGCAGTATATAAATGCTACTTTATTAGTAGTATTATAAAGCTGATTGAGATTGAAATTTTAATTTTGAAATAAGAGAGAAGAGGAAAGAAATAGAGGAAGATAAAGAGGAGACAGGAAGAGAAAAAGAAGAGAAAATATATTTAAAAGATTTCATTATATTTCTCAGAAGTAGGGAGAAATATACGCTAAAATAGGATGCTTACTATATAATATGTCTCTGGTAATAAAATTTTGGAGTGTTTTTATTGTTTGTTTTTGAAGAATAAAAACAGATAACAAGGAAAGTCTAGAGAAAAAGTGTTTTCCAATCAATATGTGAGATTCAGATAAAATAGCAAACAGAGAGAGGGAAGTTGCTATGCAGCATGGTCACAGTCATTGTGGATTCCATGCCAGAGTAGAGAAATCATGAGTGACAGATAATCACTTCATTTACTTCCTGGGTCTCTGGAGATACTCCTTGATGCAAAAGTTATCTTTGAGGAGCTGCTTAGTGATTTTTCCCCTTCAACAGATTGATGTCTTTAGAGTACATATTGTGAATACTGGTTTTGCTTTGTCTCCTAAATACATAAATTTATGGATTTCTTTAAAATGGTTGTTGGCAACTAGCTCTGTATGACATCGTTGAACACTAATGCCACTGGTGACAATGAATGGATTGAGAGACGTGGGATGCATTGTGCTGCAAGGTTAAAACATTGTTATCTATGTAATTGCTTCATCTCCCTTAGGATAGGGAATGATTTCACAAAAGACAAAGCACCTAAAAACACTAGACTGGCAGGACAACATCCATTTGAAATTGTTTTCAACATTTTTTGCAACATGCATGAAAAGCAATTTAGAAGCTTCACTAAACATTATTTTTTAATATTTTATTGGTAATATTGCCTGTCAGTATGTGCTAATATGAGTTTTGAGAAGCCTCTACTAATTTGATGTTTCCAAATGACAACAGTAAGAGAAACTGGTTTCCATTTTAGCTAAAAACTACCTTTGGAGGCCGGTCGTGGTTGTGCGCACCAGTAATCCCAGCACTCAGGAGGCTGAGGCAGGAGGATCCCTGTGAGTTCCAGACCAGCCTGGGCTAAATAATGAGTTCCAGGTCAGTCTCAACTACATAGTGAGAACTTGTCTCAAAAGAAAAACAAAACAAAAAAAAACAACTAACTTTGGAAAGCCAAAACTTCAAAGTTTTGTTCAAATGATATTTCAATTTATATTATTTCCAAATGAAAAAAGATGTTCAACAAATAGCTGACCAAATACTTCTTGAAACTTTTTTTAAGGCTTAAAAATATTTAGATGGTACCACCTGACTTTGAGCTGAGACATGGTCCTTGTCACTTCACAGTCCATACCTGCTCCTGGTGATGATTTTTATAATATCTGAAAACTGGTATTACATGCTCTTTTTACCAAGCTTTTGTCTCACCTCAGATAAAGCTGTCACTGGATTTAAAATCTTTTGGCTAATGTCCCAGATGTCTTGATACTGACAGTGTTGCTCATGAAATCTAACACAAGACTTAGAAGAAATAGTCTGTTGTTATCCAGTGAGTCAGAGTACCTGGAATATGATGAAACATTTATCCACTCTTCCTTGAATCAAAAGTTTGCTTCCATCTTGGGAATTTCTTACTACTTTTTTTCTAGGTGCGGATAATTGGAAGGCCTACCCTTGGTATGTGGTACCAACCAATAGGCTTGTAACCTGAATGGAATAAAAAGGGAAAAGGAAGGCTCCCTGCTGGCTGCATCCTGTCTGCTATGCCATGGATGGTTTCTCCTCTGCCATGAAGCCCTACCTTGGAGTCAGCTGGCTATGGACTGAAACCTCTATAAACTGTGAGTTTTCTCCTTTAACTTGTGGGTATTGAGTATTTTGTTTCAGCAATGATAAAGTAACTAAAACAAGAGCATTCAGAAGTACCTGTGGGCTCTGAGTAGAATATGGAGTTCAAATGAGAGTGTTCTGTAGAGAATGCAGGATAATGTCTATTTAAGGTTTTGTAGTCTGGACAAGTGTGTACATATCCCTAAGTTCTAAAGTAGAGAGTGTACCACTAAAATTTGAATGAGGATGTAGCTGTAGCTTTCCAAATTGTAAAAGCTAGGGCACTAGCTGGCTTCATAAATTGCCAAGGAAAGGGAAGCAGTATAATCACCCATGAGAAACGTGAAAAGAGTCACCTTTCCAGTGAAAGGCTCTCAAGGAACTCTATAGATCAAGATCTAAAAGTAGACAGCCTCCTCCTCAATGATGCCTTGAGGCAGTTGTATTATAGACACTCCTAATCACATTTCTTGTATACTTCAGTTTTTCTGAATGGATGAGTCCCCCTGCAAAATACATATATATATCATTATATTATATATATAATAATCAAAGGTTGAGCCCCATATATAAAATATATATATAATATATATTATATATAATGTAATCAAAAGCATCACACATATACATCCTGATTTTTTTACTCCTACTTCTTTTTATATGATATAGTAGCTCTCTTTTATCCTCCTAAAACTATAAAAGCCTTCAGGGACATTTCTACAATTGTATCAGAGTGAACAGCATAAATTATTTAACTACTGCAGATGAGGAAAAACACACAAATATGTTATTTTGTACTGAAGTGGCTTTAAAACATTAGACAGTTTGTGTAAGTGCTCCCTATGATTCCTTACTGTCTTTCAGGGTGTTGGGGGGTACTAGGCATTGAACTCAGGACCTTGTGCTTGCAAAACAGGTGATGGAACCACTGAGCTAAATCCCCGGCCCTCCTTATTTTCAATATATTATAAACTACTGCTTCTCAAACTTTGGGGGCCATTTAGTTATTCTTGGCTACAAATAATAGAAAAATATTGAAATTTGTTTAAATAATAAGAACATTTATTAGCTCACGAATAAGATAGGCCAGGCTTCACGACATCGTTAAAACAGAAGCTCAATAATGTTATGAGAATGTCAGTTCTTTCCATCTCTTTCCATTTCCATTCACAGTGTCAGATTCCTCTTCTCAAGGTTATAGGCTGCTTTCCAGGCTAGGTCACATGCTTCCTCACACATGTATTTAGAGGAAGGGCAGCTTTTCTCCTAAGGGGTAAGCTGGGTGATGAGTACAACAGGTTTATTTTTCTAGTCTAATTTTGAACCAATTACTGCAGAAGATCATGAAGTTATCCCTATATCAAGTATATACCCCCAAACAATGCTAAGGATGAGGTTATATCAAATGCATTTAATGCATTTAACAACAGTATAACACAGGCTCCTTTTTTTTGAAACAGGGTCTCACTGTATAGTTGAGACTGACCTGGAACTCACTAGTAGCCCAGGCTGGTCTGGAACTCACAGTGATCCTCCTGCCTCAGCCTCCCAAGTGCTGGGATTACAGGCGTGTGCCACCATGCCTGGCGGGTTCCTAGACATTCTTGTTAAATTTGAACAAACCAATGGAGTCTGCTACCAGAAAATACAAATATACAACAAATTTTGCAGTTTTAAGGCATTCAAAGTACCTTCTAGAGCATTCTTATCACTCCCCCAAGAGTCTATGGACCTCAAGTCTATAAATCTAACAGGTTATAGGTCAACCCACTGGAGTGCAATCATTCTAACTGTATTCCTTTTCCCTTCTCCAGAAATTAAGAAATCTCAGAAATAAGATTAAGAAATTGCCACAAACATCATTTTTATTTTCTGAGAAGTAAAGGATTCATGAATATGCCAGGTTACTTAAACTGGCCTTAAACTAGTATGTGAAGCTGCTGACCACTGATAGTTCCTCTGGGAGTCCCAGCCTGATTCTTCTTTCTCTTTTCCTCATTGTATCCTCTTCGGCCAGCTCTTCACACACACATCTTCTTTCATAGATGCCCATGTGTGCAAACTTTTCCAGCTTTCAGGCTACACTCATCCTTCCTTTCTCTTTATTTAGGCTTTTTAGTTTTTTTTCACTCTGCATTAAAATATCCCAAATTAGAAAGTACAAATTTATTAAACACTTGCTATGGAGTAGCATGCCAGTAAGCATTTTGCCTGTTTTAAATTGTTAAATGTCAGCAGCAACTTCAGAAGCAAAGTAGTATTTGTTTTGTTCTAATATGAGGAAGTTCCTGTGTAGAAAGGTTAGTTAGCAATGGGTAAAACTGGGATTTGAATCCAGATCTGCCTTATTCTAGAACAGTGATGGTGAATGTTTTCAACCTTACAGTGATTAACAAATAGCTGGCTGCAGCATACAGGCCATAGGTTAAACACCAGTGCTCTAGAACATGTGTTTGTTTTGTTTTGTTTGAGACAGGATCTCACTATTAGTTCAGGCTGGGCTTGAACTCACTGTGTAGCTCAGGATGGCCTCAAACTCAGAGCAATCCTTCTGCTTTAGCCTCCCAAGTGCTGGGATTCTGTGCCACCATGCCCAGCTCAAACACTTTTTTTTTATATCTCCAGTACATCCGTAGACTCTCTGTGTCCCTCTTATAGTTGTATGTATGACAAAAAGGAAATCAATTTCCCAAAAAAAGTCCTTTTTAATTATCTTAAATTATCTTATAGGATTTTAGATCTTAAATTTATATAAAGGCATAAAAATATTGGTTCTTATTCTAGAGCCTACCCTTAAAATTATTGCTGTATACGAAGAGTTTGTCCTAGCTTTGTATTTGATGCTACTAAAAAAAAGATTATTTGTTTTCATCAATAAAAAAGTTTTTTTTTTCTATTGCTCCTGGTAATATCTTAATTTGACCTAATAGGAAATATTTGATATTGCATTTTTAGCAAAAGACAAGAGTGGCTTTCTACCTTTTCATTGATGCTAACTCTCTCTGAAACTCTTCTTTGGTTTTCCTCGTCTTATTCACATATCCAGTCCTCTTCTCCACATTCCAGGCAGGGAAGTGGAATCACAGACAGAAATGATCTTGCTACAATGCTCTGACTGTGAAGAGACAGAGACCTCTCCTTTCAAAGCTGCCTGCTTAAAGTAACTAATCACACTGTTGTTCTGTAATGCTGATAACAAATTCAAACGCATTCTTACTCCTTGAGTTGGAAAACTAAGTATTTATGGCATGTGTATAAATCACATCTAAAAATGTGAATATGGCACAGTATATGTAGAGATGAAATAGCAAATTAAAGTTTGGGTATCTTCACTGTCCTAGCACTGGACTGTTAGAAAGATGGTAAAATTATAGAGGAAAGAGGACCTTGAAGATAGACAGGGAAAGAGTGAGGGTAATATGAAAAGTATTTAATGACTCATATGGCATAGGCCTTTATCAGAGCAGATACTGACTTTATCCCCAATGCGAGGTTCTAGGACCCCCCAATTATATGAGAGGTTACCAGTTTAGGTGCTGCAAAATGGGGAACTCTGGAAAGTCCCAGCAGAAGTGCAACATAGTGCAGATGCCCTTGGGGCAGCAGGATAATAGCTGTTCATTTGTTGAGTGGAAATAGTCCAAAAACATAGCATCTGCCCTTGAAGATGTAAATCTACTGTCTGTCAGTTGGGAGAGAGAAAGGATAGAAGGCCAGATACCAAGGGATCCAGGACAGCCACAAGTTTGTACCAGTGTTATTAGCAATAATTCTTCTTAGGTAATCATGTTTATTCTTTGTGCTTTATATTAAGATAATGCATAAAGTATTACATAAAACACATATATTAATTTACTATATAAAGTATCCCTGGGGGATAATATATTATTGTCACCCTAATACAAAGATGAAAAAACAAAATATTATTCTCTTTGAAGCCAAAAGATATAGGTAGATGAAGTCCTGAATATCCAAAGAAAAAAATGGTAACTTAGAAAACTTACTGACTAAATTCTAAACTTGCATGCCTGAGGATACTCTAGAGACTCAAGGACACAGCCCAAAACAACCCAAGATAACAGAGCTGCCGGTGAAACCCCTTGCCACTCTCCAGGAAATGTAAAAGACAAAGAAAAGTAAGAAGGCACATACAGGGAAATTTGGCAAGGTGACTACTCAGCTACCCAAAACAATGGCCGGTGCTGCCTTTATGGCTACAGAGATTTTGTAGCACTCGGCAGCAAGACTACCATTCCACTGACTATGATACGAATTCCATTCTTCAGAGCTAAACAGTGTACAGTCTGTACAGCTCATGTGGCAGTTAAGAGTAGCACTGTTTCAGCTTCTGAGTAACTGTACTGGCCAATTTTTTTGTTTTGTTTTGTTTTTTTTTTTTGAGACAGGGTCTCACTATGTAGTTGCAACTGACCTGGAACTCACTATGTAGCCCAGACTGGTTTCAAACTCACAGCGATCCTCCTGCCTCAGCCTCCCGAGTACTGGGATTACAAGCGTGTGCCACCATGCCCGCCTGGCCAAATTTTTGATATACACATTTTTCATTGATTAAATTTCTTTTCTGAAACCCTTACAGTCTGTTCAACCATTAAGATAATATGTTCACAATGGTTATGGGTAGTTATGTGCAAACTATTCCATGATATTAATTACTTGGTAACCTTGAAGAAGAATAATTTCTCCATTCTACCATCAAAGAACAAAGTATGGGATAAACTGTATTTTTAGAATAAAATAGATAAAGTGATGAACAAAGAATTACTGAGGAACTCTTCTGTACTATGGAACAATTCACAAAGTAGATGCTCTTATCACAGGCTATATTATTTCTTTGTATAATGCTCTTTTGCTTGACAAGGAATCTAATTAGACATTCACACATTATACAGTGGCCAAGGATAGTCAAGGAGATTGCACTTATTATAATCTTGATATCATTAAAATAGACATCTTTCAAATCATCATGGGAAAAACAGATGCACCCGAATATTCCAATCTCTCTTACACCTAGTATTGGTATATACAAATAAGCAATTCACATTTAGCCCCCAAATGCAATGTCTTTAAGTTTCTGCCTTTGTTGCTAGAACTAAATGGAGAAACAAAATGTTTTTTTCTGACAAAAGGGTCAGAGGTGGTTGGATTAAAATGTAAATGTGGTATCAAAATGATCTAAATTATATTTTGACAGTTGTCAGGAGCTGAGTAACTCTTAAGAGCATACTGTACCTTGTTTCTACCTTTTGCATTTGTTTACAAGTAACAGAAACCTGACTATGTATACTTAACCAAGCAGGGCTTGTTTTTTGTTTTTGCCTTTCTCCCATAACATGAATGTATTTATAAGAAGTTATTATGTGGCAGATCTAGGATGTCAACATTATCCAGGCTACTTTCATTTTTCTACTCTTGTCAGCCTTATTAAGTCCATCTATCTGTTCCAAAATGCCTCTTGTACCTCAAGAATATCACAACCATGTCTCAGTAGAAATAAAAAGGAAGAGCAAAGGCCAATGCGATGCAAGTCTAACTCTTTTTTAAAAACTTTCCTGGAAACTTTCTTGATGGATTTTTATATTGCACCTGCCAGAACTAGGTTACTTGGCCATCTTTAGCAGTAAAAGACTGTGCACGTATGTGTATATTTAATAGGGTACTTTTCCATCTGAAATAAAATTAGAATTCTATTCAGTCAAAAGACATATTAGATGGGTAAGTAGTAGCGAACGGCATATTTTTCATTAATGTCACAATAACAAAATGTGGTGGAGAAGCTTAAAACTGGAGAAGAGAAAGTTTCTGAGTTACACATTAATGTGTGGTGTTATCAATTCATTAAATGCTATTGAAAACACTGAGTGACTCCTCCCTAGGACTAAGTAATGAAGTAAGACATCAGACCTTAAACTTTTTACCACTAGGGACTGGTTTCACAGAAGACAGCTTTTCCACAGATGGGGAAGGGGTTTCAGATAATTCGAGCATATTACATTTATTGTGTAATTATTATTACATTTATTATTATTATTTACTATTACTATAGTGCAATATATAATTAAATTATACAACTTTCCATAATACAGAATCAGGCAAAGCAATTTTGAAGGTTTTGTGGCTTCATTAAAGAGCCAGTCACCACATATAATACAAAGTGGGCTTGGAGAATGTCATTCACTTGTTGCAATGAAAGTAGGATTTCTTGGGCCAGGAATTTAGCTCAGTGGTTCTACTGCCTGCCTTGAAAGCACAAGGATCCGAGTTTGATCCCCGGTACCAAAAAAAAAAAAAAAAAAGAAGTCTTGAGAAAGTAGGACTCTTGGTACAGTATTTTCTTTTAAATATAGCTTTGCTTTTGTTAGGGTCTTCTGCTGTTTTATCATTGAGTCCTTCACCTTTTTCAAAGAAGCTCTCCAGTGATGTTTCCTTTTTTATTCATTTTAGCTAGCATATGAGCTTACCAAAGCTGTAAGACAAGTCTATAGTGCAGAAAAGAGTTACAGACAAAAGTGGTAAATAAAATAATGGATGGGCCAGGCACAGATTAAAATAAGTCACAGAAGCTGACATAAAACCTGCCACCAGGGGCAGTTGTACAACTGAAGGACCTCAACTCACTTGCCATTATGAAACCTTCCACCAGATGCAGCTTGTCACGCTTGCCACACTCACAGAAGCGTTTTCATATGAGTCTGCAAGCAATTGATTTATTATGATCTCTGGCAGTCAAGTCTGTCCGCTGATGTTAACTATATTTGCAGTTGCTCCTCAGCAGCAGCATCAATGCTTCAGATCTCATAAGTGCACAACTTAGGTCCCTCACCCAAGCAGCTCACAGTAGTGTTCATACTTTTATGAGAATCTACCACCAAGGTAGTCTGATAGGAGGCAGAGCTCAGCCAATAATGCAAGTGATGGTGAGCAGCTGTGAGTACAGATGAGGCTCTGCTTGCTCACCTGCCACTCACCTTCGTAAGAGGACACAGACTGGTATAGAAAGGATTGGATTTCTGTTATAAGACACAGTTGTATAACGTATCGCTGAGCATGTCTATATGTCATGATAGAAACTGACTTTTGCTAGATAGAATTAAATGGTAGCTAAAATTATATCTATAACTACCATTCATTGAGGAGTGACTCTCTATAAGGCCCTACACTAAAGCTTTTATGTGTCTCTAAGTCTCAATGATTCTGACAAGAACCTATTATTAGCTATTTTTTTGACAAGAAATCAGAGACTGGATGTGAACCCAGAGGATCCAACTCCAGTACCTACACACCTAATCAATGAAAATGGCAGGATACATTAAAATTAGGAAAAGAAAAATAACTACACTACACTATGCCTATATAAGATGCTTCAACCTAGAGTAGTGGGTAAGACATCTCCTGGGCATACAACCCATATTTACATCTTAGGGAGGAAATGAAAAACAAGGGACTTAGCACAGAAGCTAGGGGCAAAACCTGGAAATACAGTTTGGTACCTGAAATCTAACCAAGAATAGAATCTTTCTGAGTCTAAAAGGATCATGATTCTTTTATCCATACCTGGTCATTCATCCAATCTTTAATGTAAAACTTTTGCTACCATAAACAACTCTAGTTTTGGCTACTGGAAAAAAAAACACTAAAATTAATGCTTAAAAAGGCCTGCTCTCTAGCAGCAAGCAATTCAGTAATTTTAAACATGCATGTTGGATAACATTCACAGTTAAGATCAACCTGTGTCATAGATTCCTCTGATTTTAAAAGAATGGTCCTACAGATTACTTTTAAAAAATTTAAGCTCCTAGGGCCGGGGATTTAGTTCAGTGGTTCTGCTGCCTGCCTCACAAGTGCAAGGACCCAAGTTCAATCTCTGATACAAAAAAAAAAAAAAATTAAGCTCCTAGAGCAGACTCTCTAAAATCTTTAAATATAGTAAGAGAATTCAGCAGTGTAAAGCTGTATGTACAATTTCCAGTAACTATAGTCTATGTGTGCATTCACTCACACTGTGGAGTGTAGGCGGACTTCATGCAATTGGATGTAGCAAACTATGCTGAAAATATGGGAACAAAAAGAGTTAGGATAAAGTACACAAACACCACAACTTTGGATAGAGTAATTGTCCCTTTTAGGGTAATAGTAGTTGAGGGTGAATCTAACACCTATTAGTGGTAGTTCAGAAGAAATACCATCAGAACCCAGTTCATTTTGTCATGCAACTCTATGTTTCACCAGAAAAGCTCATGTTTTAATGTTGTCCAACAGGCTCAGCAGAAATTAGCTTGCTACTTCTGACTAATTAGGTGCTTATTTAACACACACTCACTATGAAGCTGATTATTAAATTGCAAACAGGGTTTTGGGACTGTAGGTCTTGGGACTTCTGTACTATAGGACAAAACTATCCATTGATCAGAACTAGCATATTTCAAACCCCCAGAAGTCTCAAGGCAAAATTTAAGCAGCATGGACAGGATAGTACTGGCATGGCAGAATGTTCCAGAATCTCAGTAAAATTTCAGAATGACCAATTAATTTTTTTTTAACTATATGCTGTGGTATGGAATTGTGAGAACAGGGTAGATTCTTAAATTCCAGCCTTTCTGCCTAATATTCCCTCAATATGTAAAACTGTGGCCCTTTCCCTTCTGTTTATTTTCCTTAACACTTCATCGAAAGTATTTTTTTTTATTCATTAACTTTATCGGTACATTTTAGGTATATAATATGCTGACATTCATTATTGGGACTCTGCACTTTTACATATATATAAATTTTCCCCCATTCCCCTGCCCTCCCTTCAACCCCTCCACCCCTCCATATTTACAAAGACTTTGTTTCCATTTTTTTCCTTTTCTCATATTTATTCCTTTCCCTTCTTTCCTTTCCCCTACCTCTCCCACTTTCCCTTTGGACCTTTTCTTCCTATTTCACATTATTATTCATTTTGATCCTTACTTACACTTTCAGTTTCTTACATCAGTATATTTACACGTGTTCTATTAATTCACTTACCTTTTTAATTCTTCTAATGTCACTTTAACATCATTTTTAGAAAAGTAATAAACATTTATATGAATCCACCTTATTAAAGTAGAAATTAATATCTCTGATTCTTCAAGTCTTTTCAGGACTACATCAGATAAAAGGGAATAATGATAGTACATTCTCTAAACATGTAATTCAGCTCCATACAACTCCAGGACTGGGCTTGCACAGTCTTCAACAATTCAAGACTTGAATTTTCAGAAAATGCAGAATATAAAATTGGGCATTTACTAACACAGTTTTCAAAATTGCCATTTGTACCAAATAATACTTTTGTAACCAAAAACATGCACTTTAATTACGTATTTTGATTGCTGCCAACTAGGAGGCTTTAGAAAGAATCTTGATCACTGAGTGACACTAGCAAAGTTCCCCAATAATATGCAAACAGTGTATTCAAGGGGGAAAAAACATAAGTACTCTCACTAGAGAGGACTGGAGTCTCAATCCAGCTGTGTCCTAACCTAATCAGTAAACCAGCGTGTCTGTGTCTTTGAAATCTACTTACCTCACTGAAAGCTCAAGAGAATCAATAATACATGTATAAAATGCCTAACACTGAGTGTGAATCTCCTTCCTTTCCTCCACTGGCTGGGGTTGCTGCTGATCCTGGGAAAAGACCCAGTATTTGAGTATATGATTTGCTACAAGAATGGACCTTGCCTTATCACAGCTTCCTGAAAAATCTTGATGACAGAAAACTGTGTGCAGCTAATTCCTACAATGAAAAAGTTGTACTCACTATGACAGGCGAGCTGCTTGCTCAAGACAGAAGAGCCAATTAAGCAAGCACCACGTTTGACCCGTTGCCAGGTCTATCAGTAGCTTGGCTTGCTGCCCACTGCTCCTTGTGGCTGTGAATCAACGTTGTGACAGAGAGGGCACTAGATCAACTATTTTCCACTAATGGATCAAAGTGTTTCATTAAGACTTACAGCAAAGGAGAAGGCATAGAGAAGATATATAATCAAGGATTGACAAAAGCTTTGTTGGCAAAAGCAACACACAGCATTTTAAAATGTAAATCTGATAACACTCTACTGAACTCACACATTCTGGTTGAATAATGAAAGCTATTACCTGAATTATTCTCCACATTTTTCCCACCACTACTCAAAGAGGCCACAGGTTTCCATTAGGAGTTCTCAAAACTTGGAAAGCCCCAGGTGATTCTATTGGTACTTCCTATCTATCAGTAGAGTAGCTCCTGTTAAATTTTTCTCTTTCTTTATGCTGGGAATTGAACCCAAGACTTTCATACTGAGATACATCCCTAATCCTTCTTGAAATTTTTATTTTTTTTTCTTTTATTGAGTTTATAGGTACATTGTAGGTATACAGTACAGTTACATTCATTTTTGGGATCTTGCACCCTTACATGACAGGTGGTCTTGGTTCTCATTTTTTCCCCTTGTCCCTGCCCTCCCTTCACACCCTCCTCCCCTCCCCATTTACAAACACTTTATTTCCCTTTTTTCATTTTTCTCTTGGGACAGGATCTCACTGTCACTAAGTTGCTCGAGCTGGCATTGATTTGGAAATCTTCCTATCTCAGTCTTCCAGAGTTCTGGGACTACAGGCATGTGCCACCATACTCAGCTTGGTTTTCTTATGTTTTTTATTAACTACATCAAGTCAATGAAGACAATTTTTAAAGTAAGGCATCTAAACATTTAGTCCCTCTACCTTCTATGAATATTACCTATCTCATATTATTTGGGCTGGGAAAATAGAGATGTGCAATATTTCATGTAATAGAATAAAATGACACCTCTAATTATGAAAATAATTCCAGGATCCGGAAAAATCATCCTGGGTAAATCAAATTTTCTACATACAGAACATATAGACATGCAAGTTGGGAAACAATTTTCAGAAGAGAAGATATGATTATAGATGGGATTTGAGTTTATTTTTGCTTACCTTCAAACATGGCTTGTTTCACTTTATTTCCTATTAGGAAATAAAGATAGTATCAATAATTAAGTCACACATGTGTAAATACTGAAGTTTCTCTGGTGTGAATAAACTGTAATAGTACATAAGATCCTAATGAGATAACTGACATTGTAAAATGGGAAGAAAGGGGCTAAAGGTGTAGGGAAGGTGGGATGGGTAGGGGAAAGGTAATAAGGGAAAAGAAAAAAGTGTGAGATAATGGAAAGATGGAATTAAAGTGTTTGTAAATGGGGAGGGGAGCAGGGGGTGAAGGGAGGGCAGGGACAAGGGGAAAAAAATGAGAACCAAGACCTGTCACGTAGAGGTACAAGATCCCAATAATGAATGTAACTGTACTGTATACCTAAAATGTACCAAGAAACTCAATTTTAAAAAAAATTTGATTCTGGGCCATGTATAATTTCTTCTCTAAATTGATGGCTGCCATAATCATCATGAGTGGCTATATGAGTTGGTTCATTTTGTTCATTTGGAGAGAATTTCAGTTTAATTATAGTGTTGTCACTTTTATAAAGTAAAATCTGAAGAGTGATGCAGTGTGGCTATCTGGTGAGGATATTACCTACAGTGGATATATTTATGGATGAATATTTTGTGTTATGATAATGAAAAGCTTTAATATTAGTTACTTATCAATGTAAGAGTAATGTCAAATTTAAAAAAAAAGGCTGAAGTGAGTCCTGAATTTCCTATATTTTGTAATTTATTTTTGGAAAAATATGCTTACTATTTCAAATCGAACAGGTAAACAGATTTTGTCACTAAAAGAGGGTGCCTTTCAACTGAGTCCCAAATACATAGGATATTTAAAAATATTTGCTACTATATGACTTTTTATGACTCAAGAATTTATGACTTTTACAAAAGGCATGCTTTACCCTCCATTATCAGTAGTATATCAAGTCAGTAGTATAAACCATTTGTATCAAATATACTAGTTATATTTCTATACTACATATCAACAAATGGAAACTACACGTTAATCACAAGGGAGCACCATTAATAGCAGTTATGTGGAGATATGTAGTATGAAAACAGTTCTATTTATTCAAAATTCTATGTGTACTAGGCAAGACCAGTCCTTTAATTAAAAAACAAACAGATAAAAGAACAAAAACCAACAGGGGTGGGGGAATCAGCTAGTTCAGGGAAATTTTATCTCCTTTGCTTCTTTCCTTAAGAGTTACCTCTGTCTGCAATCAAGCTTTCATATATTCATTTTTACGCAGTATGTTAACAATAGGCAGAATGACTATTTCAGTCATATGTGACACTTACATCATTATTAAAACCTGATTATTAATGAAAAAGTTCATGGAAAGCCAGGTTAATCTGAATAATGTATCATTTCCTTTTAATCCACAATCTGTCATTTCACAAAACATAGTTAATACAATGCCAAAAGTAAAAAGACATGCCTAAATGAAAATGCATAATATATCATTATCTCATTTATATCTTACTGTGCTAGGCAGGCTAAAATTAGTTTATCGTGAATGTGATACAAAGGAGATGAAGTACTTTGTTGTTTTAAATACTTCAAGTTTCCTTCTAAAAACTAAATTTCTAAAGCTTTGCTATTAAATGTTCCTGTTTTGCTGATTTATTAAACTGATAGGATTTGAAAGGAACAGTAGAAAGAAATAATCTGTTGGTTTAAAAAAATCTCAAATTCTGTTCCTATTCTCTTGGTTCGTAGAAAATAAAAAAGGATATTATTTGTTTATCCTAGTGAAATAGATTTCAGTTGCCTGTATTACAAATACTCTAGATGGGGCCAGGGATTTTAGCTCAGTGGTTCCACTACCTGCCTTGTTTGAGGATGATCCCTGATACCAAAAAAAGAAGAAATGTCTCAGTGAATACAAATACTCTAGATGGCGGTGATCACCTATTCAAATACTTTGACCTAGATAGGGGTGGAAACCTAGTTTCTTATCAAGATAGTGGGGAGTGATATTTATGCACAATGGAGTTCTCTTGTACTATAAAGGATAAATCTGAGTCATTTGTAGGAAAATGGATGTACCTTGAGACCATAATGTTAAATGAAATAAATCAGACACACACACACACACACACACACACACACACACACACGTGAGATATCATATGGTTTCTCTTACATGAGAAACCCAAATTACAAATAAATAAAAGACAGATAATAGGAAACAGGGACATAGATCTTTTGCAAATGGGAAGGTGACCAAGGGATGGAAAGGAGGTAGGGAAAAGAAGGGGACTTAAAAAGAATTGAGATGTGATCCTCCTTTTTTTCCAATAAACTGGACAGCAGTCTGACTTTATCACCTCTCTGCTGCCCAGTTTCATTTAATTAAGGCCTGTGATTGTAGTAAATGTAATGGAACATTTGGGAGGAAGGTAAGACAAAGATTACTGTATAAATGGGTATGGTCACGAATGCCTGGAATTCCAGGACTCTGGAGAATGAGGCAGAAGTATCAAAAGTTTGAGCCCAGCTTTGGCAACTTAGGGACTTTGTGAGATCCTGTCTCAAAAAAAATGCAGGGGCAGGCTAGGAAGGTTGTTTGGTACAAAGACTCTGGGTTCAATCTCCAGTACTAAAAAAATATAAAACAGCATATACAGGAAATACCTTAAAATTACCTATTAACTATATCTAGTTTTAAGGGCAATTTTGCAAGTACCACTAGGAAATTCTATTTCCCATCTCTCTGCACCTTCAGCTTCCTGCCACAATGCTGACCAGCTTTATCTCTGACCTCTCTCATCTCCTACATAATGTTACCCTCTCCCACTCCAAGGCTTTGTTCCTTCACAGAACTGTTCATAAAAGCACTGCTCCTATGGAGTTACGTGAAGGTCATTTTCCAAACTAAACATCCCTTAAGGTACATTTCTGGCCAGTAAAGACAATTATTTCAAGACCAATTCTACAGTTACCAGCTTTCCTTTCCTTCTAACATTAGATAGCAATTTAGAAATTAAGAACTTAGAATTTATCTGAGATGAAAAAGACTACCAGATAGTAAAAGTTTGGGAGAATAATTAAACTTGTAATAATATCCAACCATTTTCTGTTATGGATGAAGAAACTGAGGCTTAGAGTTTGGGAGCCTTGCTAGATACTTAACAGCACTTTCAAGCAAGCAGCAGTTAGATAAGTGAGCTTCATTCACACTGTTTCCATGATCTCATGAAGAACTCTTTTCAGAAGCCAAACAGCATTTCAACTCTGTGCATCTAATTATCTGTTTTGCCAGCAAAGGTCTCACAGCAAAGAGCACAAGAATAAAGCAGAGAGGGAAGCATGCAGCTACTGCATACCTAATTCATATTATCCAGATACTCTAGTATGTTCATCATTCCTATTTTATTGCTATGCTAACCATTCATGCATTATTAATTCTCTAATTTCTAGGCATGATGTTGATGTTTTAAAAGGCAGTTTTTATATGCTTTTTTTAAAAAAATTTTGCATTCTGTCAGAAACAAAATACTAGACTGCAGGCATCTTTTTTTTGGTACAGGGGATTGAACTTGGGTCCTTGCACTTGTAAGGCTGGCGGCAGAACCACTGAGCTAAATCCGCAGCCCCAGGAAATATCTTTTGATGATGAAAATTCACAAAAGAATGAATTGGTTAAATTTCTCATGTTCCTAGAGAAGTCAAGGGTGTGAGAGACTGGCATGGGAAATGGAGAGAGAAAAAGACAGGAAGATGGCTGTAGTGGATAAAGATGCAAATAGATTTATTATCAAAAGAGTTATTGACAAGCTGGGCGTGGTGGTACATGCCTGTAATCCCAGCACTCGGGAGGGTAAGGCAGGAGGATCACTGTGAGTTCGAGATCCGAACAGCCTGGGCTACATAGTGAGTTCCAGGTCAGTCTCAATTACATAGTGAGGCCCTGTCTCAATACCCCCCCAAAAATAAAAATAAATAAATAAATGAGTATTGACATATATAAATGTTAATTTTATGAGAAAAGTAGATTTAAGTATCACTAGTAGAAATTGAACACTCTCATAATAAATTGGGTTTCTAACACTTTTGCTTGTATTTGATACCTTTAAAAGTTTACAAATGTTAAAAAATTGTGAATATAAATCTGAAAGTTTTAACTGAAATGACTGATAGAAGCATGCAAGATAAAGAGAATAATATATCTAAACCACTTCTATTCACAGAAAAGAAGAAAGTCTCTTTAGCAGAATTCAGACATTCAGCAACAAACTTGGCTGTAGACTTTTGTCCACTCAACAGGACAAAGTCAATGCTCCTGTGAAAATAGTAACCAGATTTTAGAGTTCTGGTCTTAGAAGTTTAAGTATTTCCCCAGAACTTTCACAGTCTTCTTTCCCTGTCATCTCACAGAAAGATAAAATTCTCTTCATTCCTTTTTTTCTGTTACCCTGCCAAAAATACACACTGAGTGATAAAGCCCACTAGTGATTCACTGCATACTATCAACCAGAGGTTTCCAGTATAAATGCCATTTTAAATGAACCTCTTCTGTTTTATTAATGCTTGACAGAAATTTACTAGCAATGATGGTGCCAAATGATTTTTACCATATCATACCATTAAAACCCAGATGTCTCTGCATGGACAGAAGCAAAGGCACCAACCCCCAGGGGCTTTTCGTCCATTCTCATTTCTTTAGCAATTGGCTAAACTGGGATTCACCTGACAGCAGAAATTACGGGGTGTGGCTCTTCTTTTCACACTACCTCCCTCTAAAGATCAATTTCATGTTTTTCCAGTATTCCTCCACTCTGCCTATTAAAAGAATAAAGGAATTTTAAAAAAAGAATGAGAAAAAAAGGAAGAAAGAGAAAGAAGACAAGGGGAGAACGCTTTGGTGAATTAGAACTTAGGTTGAGGATGTTTTTATATTAAATGTCTCTTAATATGGAATAAATATGTTAAAATGATACATGTTTTAATTCTTGGTATGTTATATTTAAGCATCCCATGTAGTTCTTTACTGAAGCCCTGTCTTCCCCACAGCCTACATCCTAAGCGTTAAATAATTCATCTACCAATCCTGTAGTCAACAGGATTGCTTCAAGTCTTAGTCCATGACAATGAACTCATGAACAATGAAGACACTGCTCAATTTGGGTTTGCTGTTGGTTTCCCATTTGAGAAAAACTGTAAAGTGCCTTTTTTGTTTTTTGTTTTTTGAGACAGGGTCTCACTATGTAGTTGAGACTGACCTGGAACTCACTATGTAACCCAGGCTGGTCTGGAACTCACAGCTAATCCTCCTGCCTCAGCCTCCCAAGAGCTGGGATTACAGGTGTGTGCCACCACGACCGGTTTAAAGTGATTTTCTTTTTGAGACACTGTAGGAAGGAGCTGGAACCTGGGATTGCTTCTTGTGGCTTCTGGCTGTTATGATGTATCCACTTTGGGTCCTGAGTGAGAATTGCTAGTTCTGAGGTAAAAGATTACTACTGTGGCAAAACCAGTCAAACAACTCGGAAGAACTCTGTCAAAGTCATGGAGACCTAATGCATATGCCTAGAACACAAGATCCAGGATGACCCTGCAGCTCCTGAACACTGTACATAGAAGCAATCAGAAAAGTGCTATTTGCACGTCTTTATTTACATCTGGCACAAAGCCAATCAAATCTTTCAATAGCACCGCTTAAATCTGGTTCCAGGTCAAATGAGTTTTTGATAGGACAAGGATCCTAATGCCTTATTTACATGAGGGAGAAACCAATTCAGAAATTCCAGTTTCAAGAGACCACTTTCTGCTATCCTGGTGGTCGTGAATCTGTTCACTGGCCCACTCCTCACTCTGAAGAGTGTACTTCTTTTCCACCTTCAATAAGAGTATATCCTCCCTACTTTTTCAGCATGTCTTGTTCAATTATTCAGGATACCAATAACCTGGAAAGGATTCTGCTAGGACCAACCATCTGATAACATTTTCCTGGTGAGACAGCCAGAAGATAAAATCTTGTTGGGATTTTTTTTTTTCTCTTTATCTCTTCTCTTTCCTTGTTTGAATTGGTTTGGTTTGGTCTTTTGTCACTCATTCCAAGCACAAGTTGGACCAGTAGGCAAAACTTCTATGCACCATGCAGTTTCCATCTGTGTGACCTAAAGTTTAACATGTCTCTTTTGCTTCCACTCTTCTGTTCTTCCCAATACTTTATTCAATTTTCGCATTCTTTTGGGGAGCAAGAACTATCAGTAACTTGGTCTCCTACGTGTGTAGCAACATACCCCAGCCTGCCTTTTTTTTTCTCTCACTTTGATCAAAGGCTCATTTGGGCACTGGCCTTTTATCTCGAACTATTCTTAAAGAGTCATTTGCTTCAGGGGCTCATTTCCTAAAACCTCAGGGAGACATTCCAGTTCACTTCTCCACTTCGTTCTCAAGGACACCAGGAAATCTCACTTTTAGATAAAAGTTATGGTTTCCCCTTCTGTGGAATAGATGGGCCCCCTCCCTTCCTTCTGGTTAGATCCCTTTGTTCCTTCTAAGAAAAATTCAGGTAATTTAGAAACATGTGCCTGAAGGTCTGAGTGGAACAAAGGAAACAGAACGAAAGTCAGCTCAACCTCTGTGAGTAAGTAGAGGTAGAGCTAGAGTATTTTAGTCAATAGATAACAGGCCTTATCTTTGTACTTGGAACCTTCTCAATTTTCTTAACTATCTATAAATGCTTACTGAATGAATGTGGTAGAAAGGCTTACTGGGTGAGAAGTCTAGAGGGGATTGAAAAAGATGACTTCCAAATTTCTTTACACTTGAGGCTATCATTCCCTTCCATGAATACTGTATCTGTACTTCAGTGTGTTTCTCAACCTAGCCTTTTGATCAAAACGTCTGTCACACAGCTTCCCGTATTAGCTGAGCTGGCATTTCACCTTCTTATACAGATGCTCCTCAATTTATGATAGGTTACACCCAATAAACTACTGTAAATAAAAAATATTGTGAAAATATATTTAGAACAATTAAGTTATCAAACATCACATCAGAGTCATGAAGTATACTGACACATATCATTGTTTACTCTATGAATGTGTAGCTGACTGGAAGCTGTGGCTTCTTACCCCCACGAAGTATCAAGGAAGGGTAAAACAACAAGTATCACTAGCCCAGGAAAAAATTAAAATTCAAAATTTGAAGTATAGTTTCCACTTTGGAACCACTGGAGAAGGAAAAACTCATGAACTGAACCACTGTTAAAAGTCAGAACCACCTATATGCCTCAAATCAACTTCCTTTCCCATACAAATGTGTCACCTTTAATTTCCTCTGTTAATGATACCATCCTCCTTAGGGACCACTGTTGGCACCAGTCTTCTCTATAAAATCAGTCATTGTCTACTCCTGTGGATTCTTTAGATTGTTTTGTTTTCTCCATTCCGACCGTTCACAATCTCCATCAAATTACTGACTGTAATCCCTACTTAACTTCATTCTAACCTGAATGCTGTATGTAATGCTGTCTCTCTCCCACTCTGGATCGGGAAACATTTCTGCGTTATCGCTTCAACTCCTAGGACTCCCAGCACAATGTTTGCAAATAGATGGCAGGTGTTCAACAATTTTGTGGCATCGCTGGATAAGTGTTCAAATGTAAGGTTTAAATTATCTTAGAGGCATGAATATTTTTTACACTCTCTTGGTAAAGGGCATAAGAAACAGGAAATGCATATTTTAAAATAAAACCCTACATATTTGTGCCTCGGAGTTTGTTGCAAGAATTGGTTGTAGTTTTAATGTAAAAAGACAAGAAACACACTCTTGTATTTAAAAAAAAAAAATGTCCTCAGCTCTCACCTAAAATCTTCCAGGATTCAGGTTTTTCACCCCTTCCATGGCCTGATGGGTGGCGGGAGGAGCGACCAGCAAGCCTGCCTCGAAGAACAAGGAGAGAACGGGATGGGGGAAGTCCCGGAAGTCACTGACCCGAGAAAGCGATTGCCTCAGCGGACTCGCTCTGGTCTCGGGTCCCAACAATAACAGGCGCTTGAACTGGGCGGGGACCACCCGAGGCCGGAGCTTGGGGGCGGGACTAGGATTGGGGAGGTGGGTGGCACGCTGCCGTATCCCGAAGGTGATTGGAGAAGGCAGGTAAGGGGCGGTGGGGTTGTAGGAGTGAGCCGGCGAGCTAACGGGTCGACCGAGCAGGCAGCATGCTGATTGGGTAATGAGGAAGGAGACGGACCGGAGTGGAGGGTGGATTGGCCAAAACTGGCCAAGGAGGCGTGGCCAGAGCGTGAGTGAGCGGGCGGCCGGCCTGGCTGCCAGCTAGTCAGCCGCGGGCGAGCGCGGCGAGCCGGGGTTCGAGCTAGGAGCTTGGCGCAGACGGCTTTTTTTTTTTT